TTTTCTTAGGAAAAAACGCCTCGGAGGCTATTCCCTTGAAGGGAAATGCCTCTGGAAGTGTTTTTCTTAGGAAAAAACGCCTCCGGAAGTGCAAATCGCCTCAGAGGCATTTTCCTTCAAAATTTCCGACAAAGAAATGCCTCCAGATGTGATTACTTCAAAGGAAAAAGCCACAGAGACGAATCCCTTCAAGGAAAACGCTCCAGAAGCGAAGTCCTTTACGGAAACGCTCCAGAAGCGAATTCTTACAAAGAAATCGCTTTAGAAGCAAAATCCTTCAAGGAAATCGCTCCGGAAGCGAATTCTTTAAAGAAAACACTTCAGAAGCAAAATTCTTCAAGGAAAACGCTCTGAAAGCGAATTCTTCTAAAGAAAACGCTTCGGAAGCGAATTCTTTTAAAGAAAACGCTCTAGAAGCGAATTCCTTCAAGGAAATCACTCTGGAATTGAATTCTTTTAAAGAAAATGTTCAGGATGCATTTTTCTTCAAAGAAAACGTCACTGAGTTCATTTTTCTTCAAAGGAAACGCCACCGGTTTCATTTTTTTCAAAGAAAACGTCACTGGGGCTGTTTTTCTTCAAAGAAAACGTCACTAGTGCTGTTTTTCTTCAAAGAAAACGTCACTAAGGCCATTTTTCTTCAAAGAAAATGTCACCAGTGCCATTTTTTTCAAAAAAAATGTCACTGGGGCTGTTTTTCTTTAAGTAAACGCCATCAGAGCAGCTTTCTTCGAAGAAAAACTGCCTTTAGATTTATTTTCTTCAAAGAAGAAAATACAAGCCAATGAGCCGAGCTGTAGCACGAGCCAAGCCACGTCACAAGCCAGCTTGTCTAGCTTGCAGCTCATTTTATGGTAGCTCGAGCTGAACCTAAACAAGCTGGCTCGTTTGGCTTGCAAGCGGCTCAGCTTATGTGGAGCTTTACTAGATTAGATAATGATATCAAGGAAATCAAACAATCTTCAGCTAGTACTAGTTTTATCGAGAACTCTGACATATGTCAACCTATTCGCACAAAAACTAAGACATTAGCAGAAAAAGAGACAGATGCTTAACAACGAAATTAGGAAACGCAATAAAGAAAAGAAACTTCTGCAAGAATCAGCTATCTAAGAGATGCCTTTGATTTTCTAGAATACTACATCTAATTACTACGAGTAAAAGAATGATCAGGATACTTCAGCTTGTGAAGATTTGATTAAAGAAATATCTACTAGTATCAGCTGTAACACATCTATTTAGAATCAGTCGAGAAATACTTCGCATAATATCATATCTTAAGTGACTGAAATTTTGCTAACCTCAGATCAGAGAAAATTAGATATCCTACAAAATATAGCTAATTTATATGAAAAAGCTTGTAATGCAGAAGATGTATCGATAAAAGCTAATCAGGCAGAAATTTTATGCTGAAGTAATTTTATTATAGCATTTGATAAAAGCATTGATAAAATCATGGCTAGAGATAGAGTAGGCATGAAAAAAGCTAAAGGACTAATTTATGATTTTATACTTGCACAGAATCCTGACACTAAGCGTTTCGCTCTATATAAGAAAATTGAAAGAGCTAGGAAGATTTATAGATTAACTGAAAGAATAGGATTAGATAAAATCAAACATATCAAATTATACAATGCGAACAGTATTTCAAAATTTACCAATGAAGAAATTCAAAGAGTCATAGATCACTTTACCAAAAATCCCAATATGGAATTCACTGATGATTCTGAAGATGTAGAATAAGATAATGATACCCTGGAGGAACCTAATCAGATTAATGTATTGGAGGACTTGCTTCCAAAGAAATTAACTGCATCTATCCCATTAGTTTATGTCTCTAACACTTCTGATAATTCCAAAGAAGAGGTGTGGTTTGATGAAGATATGTTTTTCAATGAAACGAATCCCATTAAAGTGAACACTGTCTCTTTAGCCAATGATGTGTATTTTGAGGAGTCAGAAGAAGAAAGGAATGAAAAGGTCCTTTTGCTTCAGCGTCTTCAGTCAGAATCAGATAATACGCATGATGGCTATGATGACTCTGATCCTAATAGTAATTCTAAAGATGAGATGCTAAACGATTCGGATGATGATGGGTATGGTAAATACAGTAGATATAATGAATATGGTGAACGTGATAGAGGTTATTATAATCGTGATGGAGAATATAAAAGAAAATTCTCCCTAATGATGAGTCCTATTATCTCTTCGGTAACTGTCTGATGAATTAATTACTGAATTATGCAAAATCGTATATTTCTTTTTTCAAATCACGTGGGTGGCTTATCCAAGCATATATCATGTACAATAAGTAAGTACATCATTACTATACTTTTCCATAGTGAATAAGGGCATGATCACCTGAACGAAAAATTTATATGTTTCTGCAGTGCTCCTATTTTTAGATCTAGATGCACTATTTTGTAATAATAGTTAATATATGCTATTTTTGTAATAATGAAGTCAGGGTCAAGATCTCATGAAATACCGTCATATTTTTGCAAATTTATAGAAAAGTAGATTGTGAGTCTAGATCAATAAATAATTAATCCAATGATTTTTTTTCAAAAGGTTTTGGCATAACTTTGCTGAAACTTAGATTTTTTAACAATGCATCAACTATGATGTGATATTATAATTTCAACAAAGTAATAGCATAATTTATAAAATTCATAATAACAATGTAATTATTACTATTATTATAATATGTTAATAATATTGTAATAATGCTATTAATTTGTATTGTGGTATTGTTATAAATTATTATCTAATAAAATAAAATCAAAACGTCTTTGCAACACCTGTATATTTATTTTTACAACGTTGTTATCTTATTTATCACTAATCAACTATCAAGAGATAAATTTCACGATCTGTAATATTATTAAATTGCAAATTTTCTGCAGTATTCATAACATATTCAGTATTGTGACTTGATATCAATCTTATTATGTAATGGTATAATATTAATCATTCTTTCTAAGCCACACTCGCTAGTTCAGTTGAATTGTTAATCGATCAATTACACTAACCAAAATGGGCTATTTGTTTATATTCGTATAATTAAGAAAAAAAAAATACAGTTAATTATTCGTATTCATATAATAAAAAAATGCTGAAAAATAATTAGAAATTTTTATTTTTCTTTCCACCTTGAATATGGTGATATTTAAATAATAATATAAAGCTTAATATGATTAAGATAATAATTAGTTAAATCATTATTAGGTCCAGTGATTATGACGTTATGATGATAAAAATACATGAAACTATTTAAAGTTGACTAATCAGGTTCCTTACGATTCTTTATTCACTTTGGTTAAACTTAAAATGATCAAGACACGAAAATATAATAAAAGAAATGCTGGTAAGAGAAATTTTCTTTGACTATTAAAATATTCTTGTATTATTTATTATTATTATTATTTATATAAACTATTAGCTTCCAAATCTCCTTTGAGACCTGTTAAAACAAATAACTCTCTTGAAGAAGTTGAATCACAAGCTACAAATACTATGGAAAGCAAAAGAAAAAGGGTTCCATGTTGTATGAATGCAAAAAATAAAACAAGAGAAAATGAAGAACTTAGTTTGATCGATGATGATACTACGGAAAGCAAAAGAAAAAGGGTTCTATGTCATATGAATGCAAAAAAGAAAATAAAAGAAAATGATGATGATGATGGTATATGTACAATCTTATTGATGTTATTTTACCATATGCGGATAATACTATACTAATTTTATTATACAATTTAGATGTGATTTAAACTGCAAGTGGTTCATGTTCTTGTAAATCTAAAAATATTATATAACAAAACGAAGAATCAGAACAATCATCAGCATCAAATGTCTCATCTCCTTTAATCTGAAGCCATTCACCTGAAAGTTTTTATGACCAACGATTGCCAACATATAACATTGCTCCATCTTCTTCAATCAAAGATCATTCACTTGAAAATACTTATGACCAACAATCATCAGTATCAAACATGACCAATATTACATCATCCTTAACTGAAAGCTATTCATTTGAAAGTACCAATAACCAACTATCAATAGCATCAAATATAACAAACATCACCACATCTTCTTTAATCGGTCCATTTAAAAATAATCTTGAAGTTTGTTTGTATTTGGTACAGCATCCAGAACTTATTAATTTAACAATGAACATGATGAAAGCAGGCGGCCAGGAATCTATAACTACTCGAGAAAAGGTTGATAAGTTTAATGTGCTTCCAGAAAAGGTAGGTTTTAATATATAAATTGATAAATATTGCATAATTCAATTGTTTAATTCAATTATTTATTGTTTTATTTAAAATAGAAACTTGGAATGCTTCAAATGCATTTAAAATGCCTTTTTTTTCGTACAAGAGTCATAAATAAGCAAATCATTGATACACTAATAAGGTCTTTATTTCCAAATATTCAAAATACTAGAGCATCTGATCGTGCTGCATTACAGACGTGAGTTTTTGGATGCTACTGTGATTATAATGCATCAATGAGATGTGAACTTCGAAAGCTGGTCCCCGAATTCATTAGGAAATACAGGTAATGTTTATAAGTTATGGTTTTATATGTTATTGTTTGCTATTAATTTGATAATAGAAAAGACTAAAAATCATTATACTGTAGATTGACTAAGAGTAAACA